CATGAAGTGAAAGAATTATTTGCAAAACAAACATATTTGCGCTTGTCAGAAATCTTTTCTTGCTATTCTAAGTTTTTGTGACTCAAAGTTTTGCTTGTGATTCTCACATGATATCGTGGACAGGGCCTAAAATCGTAACAAAAGATTTCTGATGTGTGCAAATAAAAGTTTATGTTTGGCAAATAACTTTTTAAGTTCACGAGATTTTAAAATAAGTTTTTTAAACAAAACTTTTTCTTTAAAAAAAAAAAAGAAATTACAATTCCAAAAATTTTGATTACAATTTTATTTTACTTAACCCTTAGGAGTCAGTGTTCTAAATGGCCGTTTGAGGTTAGTTTTTTTTGTTGTTTTATTTCATTGAATAATTGTGAAACAAATATAACTTCATACTCTGCTAACCAGACCCTAAAATTAAAGTCTGGATTGAGTTTTTTCCCCTTCATTAATGACAAGCTTTTATTGGACAGGAGCAACTTGATTGATTATTACATACATTATATCTATAATGGTAATTCAGGGTGAGTTATTTTTAATTCTAAATTAATATCCTTGTTGGACTTTTATTTAAGTGCTATTCTCTTTCAAGATACATTTACCTAACGCTAGAATAAATACAATGTACATTATGCAGCAAAGGAAATTAGAAGACATTATGGAGATGATCAGTTTTGGACGGGAGATGTGCCCCTATTGCATAAGCAATACTGAAGACTGACTGCTATCATTAACGATACAGGGAAGAAGTTTTTTAGTTATCTGGCTTTGCTAGCAAAGTCGTTAGCTAACAGCTAGCTAATAGCACAACAACAACAGCCTAATGTCTGTATGATAAAAATACTGAATCGATAGATGAGAACAGTTTTCCTCACCTGGCTGTCTCCTCCCGCTCAGTAGTTCTTCAGGGAAAGGCAGACGCAGAGGCCTGTCAGTGTCTGTTGTATTTCATTACCTCTCTGCTTAAACCGCGACTCCGAGCTGAAGCAGAAACGATACTTCAACGTTTTCCGTCATCTGACAAGTAGCAAGTCTACTCCACTTTATTCACCAAAAACCTTTTTTTTTTAATTCACCAAAACCTGTTCTGCTATCTGGAATGTTCACTACGTTGAGCTCCGCAGCTGGCCGCCTTATCTCACTGCACCAGAAGCAACTGCGTCGTGCGTCACGGGCAAAAGGTCAAAGGTAACAAGGTGACCGGAGGGCTTATTGTGTTGTACAAAAAAACCCTAACAAAAAAACAAATAATTTTAGTACATGCAAAAGGTCAAAGGTAACAAGGTGACCGGAGGGCTTATTATGTTGTACAAAAAAACCCTAACAAAAAAACAAATAATTTTAGTACATGTTATGTGTACATATCAGTGAAATCTTTTCTTTCCAGGCAGCATTTTGAAACAGTGATCCACGCTTTTATTTCAACTCGATTGGACTACTGTAGTGCACTTTATCTGGGAGTCAGTCAGTCGCTGCTCTCACGTCTGCAGCTGGATCAGAATGCTGCTGCATGACTTTAGACAGGAACTCAAAAGAGAGAGCAAGTGACCCCTGTCCTGGCCTCACTTTACTGGCTCCCTGTATATTTCATTCATTTCATTCAATTCATTTTAAAATTTCAACTTTTTAAATTATGTCTTCAATTTGTTGTGCTAAGTGCAAAGCAGACAAGTTACACACCTTGTGTGTTTGACTGATTTTATAAAAGCACAGCATTGCACCCCTTTGTTTTTAAACACTCTGTGGGCAGTGGCATCTCAAACATAGACCAACTGAAGCAAAAGCTTGTGACTTTAGCTTGAAAAAATGTAATGTATTTCACTACATCATAGTTAAACCAGCATAGAAACATAATAAATAATCAAATTTGCTTTGCCTGGTTTTGCAGAAAAAACTACAGGATAACTATTCAGCGGCGTACACGTGTTGAAGAGCCTGAATCCATGAAGCACCATCAGTTACGAGAGGACTCCATAAGATCAAACTTCTCAGCAGCTTAATCCACATTAAGGATGAGTTCCTGACAGATTATACATGTGAATGTGGATAAAGTTTTTACTGTATTTTTCAGTGATTCCATATCCACTGCAATTTGACATTTCTTGTTGTATTTAGGACAGATTTACTTCTTAGAACCTGGGTCTGTTTTAACAGGTACACACACCAGTCACCTTAGACCAGTGTTTCCCAACCCTGGTCCTCAAAACTCACTGCCCTGCATGTTTTAGGTATTTCCTTGCTTCAGTCCAGCTGATTTCAATCGATGACTGATTAACAGGCGTTTGTTGAACTGCAATCAGCTGAATCAGGCACATTAAAGCAGGGAAACCTCTAAACCATGTAGGACAGTGTGTCTTGAGGACCAGGGTTGGGAAACACTGCCTTAGACTTTCCTTAAACACACAAAGATGAAGTTTACTGGTGAATTGAAGAATGCTCTATGAAAAAAAGGTTTTCCTTTTGTGTGTGTGTGTGTGTGTGTGTGTGTGTGTGTGTGTGTGTGTGTGTGTGTGTGCGTGTGCGCGTGTGTGTGTTTTCCACTGCTCAGGTTTTCAGTTTATGATCTTATTATAATTTCTTTCTCTCTCTTATTCTGGTGTATTGGTCCTGAAATATATTTTATAATACACAGATTTATCCTCTTCAAATTGACTGTTTATTAAATTAAAATTACACTGTCTGTTTCAAACTACAAAATATCTATATTTATTTATTTATTTATAGTAAAACTGTATTGGAACTAACTTGGTAGACAGATGTCCTAAATTACAGATACAGCAATACAAAGATTGCCATTCTAGAAGTAAAAATTTAGGAAATTGTGGTTTGTACAAAGAAAAAATTATGCAGTCGTTGTGCAGCCTCACAGTAAGAGTGCTTTTTGCTTCAATTTCGGAGACTGATTTTAAGTCACAAATAATAAACTTGTGGCTCAAAAATGTGGTGAAAAAAGGCTAAATGATGGAGGAATGGTACAAGAAATCAAATATAGTATTTTGTATAAAACTGTGTATTGTGTATTGCACAGATTTTCTTTGTATAAGCAGTGGTTTGCAAAGTATTCTTACCCCTTGAACTTTTCCATATTTTGTCACATTACAACTACAAACATAAATATAGTTCATAAACTTATAAATGATTCAAGACATTTTTTTACAAATAAAAAACTGAAAAGTGTGATATGCAAAAGTTTCAGTGCTCCTGAGTCAATACTTTGTGGAACCACCTTTTGCTGCTAATACGGCAGAAAGTATTTTAGGGTTTGTCTCTACCAGCTTTGCTCATTCTCTTTTGCAAATAAGTTCCAGGTCAGTCAGATTAGATGAAGAATGTTTGTGAACAGCAGTTTTCAGATCTTTCCACAGATTGTCGATTGAGTTTAGGTCTAGACTTTGACCTTTGCCATTCTAACATGCATATGTTTTGTTTTAAATACTTCCATAGCCCTGGCTTTACGTTTACGAACCTCCACCCGAATCTCAAATCTACGTAAGTACATTGCTATCACGCAGGGGAAAAAAATTTGAGCGCTATCACGTTATAACGTGATACGCATCTTGTAAAAACATGATAGTTATCTTGTTAAAACGTGACACTTATCTTGTATAAACGTGATAATTTTATGTCCAGGAAGTGGCGGTGATATGCTAGGCTAGTACAGTGGCTAACAAGAACTGGTCAAGTTTTCCTTCATGTTTGGTCTGAAACATGGAGAGATACGGTCCAGAATCTGTCCAGGGTAGGAGTGGCTGACTGGACTACAGACTGATGGACATACTGTACAGGTCCTTCTCAAAAAACTAGCATACTGAGATAAAGTTCATTATTTTCCATAATGTAATGATAAAAATTATACTGTGATATATTTTAGATTCATTGCACACCAACTGAAATATTTCTGGTCTTTTATTGTTTTAATACTGATAAGTTTGGCATACAGCTCATGAAAACCCAAAATCCCTGTCTCAAAAAATTAGCATATCATGAAAAGGTTCTCTGAACGAGCAATTAACCTCATCATCTGAATCAACAAAGTAACTCTAAACACCTGCAAAAGATTCCTGAGGCTTTTAAAAACTCCCAGCCTGGTTCATTACTCAAAACCGCAATCATGGGTAAGACTGCTGACCTGACTGCTGTGCAGAAGGCCATCATTGATGCCCTCAAGCAAGAGGGTAAGACACAGAAATTTCTGAACGAATAGGCTGTTCCCAGAGTGCTGTATCAAGGCACATCAGTGGAAAGTCAGTAGGAAGGAAAAAGTGTGGCAGAAAACGCTGCACAACCAGAAGAGGTGACCGGATCCTGAGGAAGATTGTGGAGAAGGGCCGATTCCAGACCTTGGGGGACCTGCAGAAGCAGTGGACTGAGTCTGGAGTAGAAACATCCAGAGCCACTGTGCACAGGCGTGTGCAGGAAATGGGCTACAGGTGCCACTTTCCCCAGGTCAAGCCACTTTTGAACCAGAAACAGCAGCAGAAGTGCCTGACCTGAACTACAGAGAAGCAGCACTGGACTGTTGCTCAGTGGTCCAAAGTACTTTTTTCGGATGAAAGCAAATTTTGCATTTTATTCGGAAATCAAGGTGCCAGAGTCTGGAGGAAGACTGGGGAGAAGGAAATGGCTAAATGCCAGAAGTCCAGTGTCAAGTACCCACAGTCAGTGATGGTCTGGGGAGCCATGTCAGTTGCTGGTGTTGGTCCACTGTGTTTTATCAAGGGCAGGATCAATGCAGCAGCTATCAAGAGATTTTGGAGCACTTCATGCGTCCATCTGCTGAAAAGCTTTATGGAGATGAAGATTCATTTTTCAGCACAACCTGGCACCTGCTCAGAGTGCCAGAACCAATGGTAAATGGTTTACTGGCCATGGTATTACTGTGCTCAATTGGCCTGCCAACTCTCCTGACCTGAACCCCATAGAAAATCTGTGGTATATTGTGAAGAGAAAATTGAGAGATCCAACACTCTGGATGAGCTTAAGGCCGCTATCGAAGCATCCTGGGCCTCCATAACACCTCAGCAGTGCCACAGGCTGATTGCCTCGATGCTACGCGGCATTGAAGGCTGCAAAAGGATTCCTGGCCAAGTGTTGAGTGCATAACTTAACATAATTATTTGAAGGTTAACTTTTTTGGTATTAAAACACATTTCTTTTATTGGTTGGTTGAAATATGCTAATTTTTTGAGACAGGAATATTGGGTTTTCATGAGCTGTATGCCAAAATCATCAGTATTAAAACAATAAAAGACCAGAAATATTTCAGCTGGTGTGCAATGAATCTAAAATATATGACAGTTTATTTTTTTATCATTACATTATGGAAAATAATGAACTTTATCACAATATGCTAATTTTTTTAGAAGGACCTGTATATGGGATGGACCTAGGCTGTCATAATTTAACAAAAAAAAATATTATAATATATCGACCGCGACAGCCCATTTGTTGATTTCACTGATGACATTGAGCTTATCCAATGAAATCCCTTAGTCCCCTGCCCCCAACTCCTCTCTAAGGTTATAAATAGCACCATTTCAGCTAAGTGAGCGGATACGAGATGGGGAGTATCAGAAAAACTATAACAAAAGCTAAAAAGCGCGTAATCCATTCAGAAAAATGTGTCAAACTAACCAATATGTTAATTACCACACAGAAGGTATTACTACAAGGTGGGGAAGGAAAGAAACTAATGTGAGAGGGGATGAGGGGGCATATAAAATACAGTAGTTTCCCAGAAAAAAACGGGAGACTTGATAGGTATGGGGATAACACAGGAATGATGATGGCTCATGGAATTAATAATGAACACGTTCTGAGATATTTTTAATAAGAAGAATAATTGTGAATTTCAATAGAAAACGTAATAAGTAAGGAACAACAAATAGAACAATTAGAAAACAGCTATTGATAACACTTTAAAAATGTTTAAAAGTAACTAGACACATCTTCAGTAAATACTGTCTGGTGGAGTAGTAGGCAAAATGTGGAAATGTTCAACATAGGAAATGATTGCAAGAACGTTGTGTAGTTAAATTTACTGTTAGTAATTACTACAACTGAACTTATTGTACTACACTTCTGTTATGGTATCCATAGTTTATTCTAATTAGTCTGTATACGTACATATGTATGATAAACTTATTGTCAGTAAACTGGTTTCCATAGAGTTAAGAATAAATCATGTATTTTATGTCATTTGCTTGTACTGGTAGGGTTTGTAATTGAAAGAAAAAAACAGTGACTGGTGAAATGTATGAGTGGCCAGTAAAAATGTTTTAAATTCCACTACAGCAATACTAAAAAGAAGTTCTCTATGGGGGAATATTTCTGACGTAATTCGAGAGCACACATTTTCATTTTGAAAGCAGGACTTCATGTCTTTCTTCTCAAAATTTGTAATGTTCTCTTCACACTCTTGCAGAATTATCTGCTTGCTTATGAAACATTCTCTGCTTGCTTTTGGAACCGCCTTTTGGCACCGTCGCCTGGCAACCTCTCAGCCAATAGAATGAAAGTGTTGTACTGGGTGCATTTTTTTTTTCATTCTAGTGGTGTGCCTATGTGGCTACTACCAATTTTAGCAATTTGCTACAATCGGATGCAGGTTGTAGGAATGTAAGGAGTTGTTTGGGTGAACAAACGCCTGCCTAATATCAGAAGGTTGTTAGCGATCAGTAGCACACTGATGGCGGATGTAATATGGAGCAAAATTGTTTCTTCCTACATCCTCTGGGTGGCGCAGATTGCTTTGCTACAATCGATAGTAGCCACACAGGCACACCCGCTAGTAGGAAACAAAATGCACCCAGTACAACACTTTCATTCTTTTGGCTGAGAAGTTGCCAGGCAACGGTGCATTTTTTTTGTTCCAGAAGCAGCAGAGAATCTAAGCAGAGACTATATCTGAGCATGAGAAGTTTTGAGTACAAGCATTACAAGTTTTAAAAAGAAAGACATGAAGTCCTGCTTTCAAAATGAAAATGTAAGCAAAAGTATTAAAAGTTTTGAGAACAAAGGACATGAAATCCTCCTTTCAGACTGACATGTGTAGTCTTGGATTATGGCAGAAAGATTCACCCATAGTTCTCTGATTTACATTGTTATTTGTGTCATAGCCTGCACTCCTTAACATGCAGCAGAACGCCTGCATGTCGCTTTTTCAAGTTTATTTTCCGGGCCTGATGGTTAGGGGTTTAAAAGAAATATTGCATCTCATAAGCTGGATGCAGCATACAACCCTTAGT